TCACAGCCATACACAGACCCACAACTACACACACACACACAGAGAAACCCACAACCACATTCACACAGACCCACAACTACACACAAACCCACCATCACACTCACAGTCACATACAGTTACACAGACCCATAGCTACACAACCACATACAGGCCTTCAATTTCATTGTAAATGATTTTATTTATTTAACAAAATGTAGAAAAAAATACAAAAGTACAAAACCATCCCCTGGAGTATGTGAGTGTTGGGATGGGGGGAATAAATAAATGGGAGGAGTCATGTTGGTCCATAAATAAGGTTTGGAGCACATAAGTTCAGTCTCAGAGCTCAGGCTGGCCTGGATCATCAACAAAGGTCCCCGTAGGCCACACACCGGAGGTCTTGGGTCAGCAGTCGGAAGAGGTTCAGCATGACTGAAGCCTCCAGGCATCCCTGAGATTCCTGATGAGAGTTAGACACAGAGTTAGCATTAGGGTCCTCTGTGGAATTCTGAGTCTCCCTGGCTCCAAGCCTTAGGGAGAGACAGAGCCTCTGCCTGCCCAGACTCTGAGGTCCTTTTGACACCTCCCCTCTAACCTAGCATGCCATGGAAGCTCAGCTATGAAGTCCGGTCCCCTTCATAACTCACCATTTTCCTGGACTCACTGAGCCTATGTAGCCAGTGCTTCAAGCGGCCGGGGAGCTTGTAACCTCTAGAGGGCAGGGGAGTAACCTGTGTGGAAAGAGGGCAGACTTAATAAAAGGGAGGGGGACCCAGGCATTTGATGGTTTGGGGAGCTGGGGGAAGGAATCCAGGCATTCCAGCCTCTCAGCCTCACTGAAAGGGAGCAAGGCATCGGGGAGACGGGGAAAGGCTATATGCCCATTCGTTCTGGAGGTGCTCTGCACATCCTCCGGTACTTACGCAGCTTTGGATCTCCTGGTTGATGTGGCTGAGGGTTTGTAGGGGTTGAGCCAGAACCCTCTCCAGGTCGGGGTTATCCATGGCTTTCAAGACCTCCAGAGTCAAGTACAGTTCAGCCTTTAAGACTCTGGGACGATCTGATAGCTGTAAGGGGATAGATGAGAGTGATGTGAAGGAGAGGTAGGTGAAGGGGACAGACAGGGTAAAGAAGATAAAGGAGGGATGAGGAGAGGACATTTGGGAAGGGAAACTGGGGAGAAGAGATGGGAAGGGAGACCTGGGGGGTACAGATAATGGAGAAAGGTGATGATGGACTGACAGGTGAGGGTGGAGTGAAGTTTCCCCTTACCGGTAATTGTCGAAGGTCCCAGTTCCTGTGGAAGAATTTGGAGCTGCATTTCCTCTCTGTCTGAAGCATGGACTCCTCCTTTGGGAGTTGAAAGGGAAGAAGTTAGAGGTTTTGTGACCCTTCTAGGTCCTGGAGTTCCACATAGCATCAGGAATTTTTGAGTAGAATGGAGGTTAGAAACACAGAAAGAAGTGGAGCTGAAGAAGAAAGGATTATGGTTAGACCTAAGTGGGAGTACATGTTAGACCACAGTAAAAGAGATCAAGGTTAGACCACAAGGAAGGGGCAGGGGGTGTTGCAGAGGTGGGAAGGAGGGGGGCTAGAAAGCAGCATTAGAGAGGATACAAGGACCTCTCCCAGCCCTCCAGAAACTCACATAGGTATCCTTGGCCACCTTGAAGGCTTCCATCTCCCGAGGTGAAAGAGACTTGAATTGGCTGATTTGACAGCTCCTCTGGGTCGGAAGGTGGGTAGGAGTCGGTATCAGGGGCTTCGAAATCACCCCTGACATCAGGACAGAAAACAGCATCACGAGATTGTTGGGAGCAGTCATGGCTCTGCAGAGTTAGCTCCACGGATGAATATGGAGACGGCCTCATCCCTGTAGTTTTAAAGAGCCAAGCTGGAGAATCCCAATGATGAAGGAAAAACGGAATCAGAAACCCCTCTGTAGCTCCCAGGTGAAAAGGGAAGGGCCAGGTGTCAACAGGTGACTACAGGTTACTACAGGTACTAGGAAAGGGAAACTGAAAGCCCAATGAGACAGCACTGAGGGAAACTCGCTGCTCAGTGGCAGTCATTCCCCAGAGGCAATTCCATCCTAGGCATTCCTCACTCTGACTTGGGTTACTCTTTCACCTTTTCGTAACCTCTTCCCATCTTTTCTCCCCCATCTCTGTCCTCTGCCCATATCCCCGCTTTTTCTTCCCTTGTCTCCCACTTCCCTTCTCTTTCTCCCTTGGATCTCTCTATCCTGACCTCCCTTCTCACTCGTCTCATCTCTCTCCTTTTTTCTCTCTGTCTTACCTCTCCTCCAGTCTCATCTCTCCCTCCCAGCTTCCTCCTCCTCTCCTTTCTTACCCTGTCCAATGTCTCTTAATTTCCTCCAAATCTTTTCCCTGCCCCCATTTGTCAATTTTCCTGTCTCTTTCCTCTTTCCTCAACACCTATCTCTTTCCCTCTCTTCCAATTTTATTCTCCCCCATCTCTTTCTCCATCCCTCTCTTCCCAGTCTTCCTTGTACTGTTTTCCTCTTCTGCCCTCTCTTCTGTCCCAACCTCTCTCTCCATCCCGTCTTCTCTTCCATCTTTCTCTTCCTTTTTCCTGTCTCTATCCATCTCTTCTCTTTTTCTCTGTCCTTTCCCCTTCATCTCTTTCTCCTCTCTCCTCCTCATCTTTCTCCTTGATTCCATCTCTACTTCCTCTGACCCTTTCTCTCTCCCTCTTCTCCTCTACTTATTCATCCTCTTCCCTTTTCTTTCTCCCTCCCCCAAGTTTTTTTCCATTTCCCTGCCCATCATTTTCCTAATCCTTCTTCATCTTTGCTCCCTCCATCCTATCTCCCATTTTGTCTTTTCTCCCCTTCCTCTCCTTCCATCCTCCTTACCTCTTTCTTCATTTCTCTCTTCCACCACTCTGGTACAGACCCTTATCATCTATGCCTGGACTATTGCAATAGCCTGCTGGTAGGTCTGCCTGCTTCAAGTCTCTCTGCTCCAATTCACCCTTCTTTTAGCCTCCAAAGTGATTTTCTTATGAAACATAAGTCCAATCACATCAATCCTCTACTCAATAAACTCCAATGGCTCCCTGTTATCTCCAGAACCAAATATAAAATCCCGTTTGGCATTAAAAGCCCTTCACAATCTAGCCGGCCCCTGTCTTTCCAGTCCTCTTCTACCTTACTCCCTAATATATACTCTTTAATCCAGTGATTCTGGCCTCCTGGCCTTTCCTCAAATAAGACACTTCATGCCTCAACTGCCCGTCAATTCTGCCCTTTCTTCTCTCTCCTCCTATGTCTCTTCCCTCCTTCCTCTTCCTCTCCCCACTACCCCCCAAGTCTCACATTTACCTCTTCTCCCACCTCCCATCTTTTCTCCCCTCCCCATCTCTCTTTCTCCTTTCACCATGTTTCCCCTCCCAACTCCATTTCTCTCCCTCTACTCCAACTCTTCTCTCTCCTTTTCTGTCTTTCTCCCATTATCTCTTTTCCCCTTCCCCCTCTTCTCCTCTCTTTTTTCTTTTCTCCTCCTTCCCTTCTCTTCCCTCATCTGTTCCCCCTTCTTCCAGTCCTTTCGCAAGTACAAAAGAAAGAGCTACATACCTGGGAGTCAAGAGATCTAAGATCTTTTCCCTGCTCTTCCCATGACTCTTTAGTCAAGTACCTTCCCCTCTGTGAGTCTGTGTGACCCAGAGCAAATCATTTAATTTCTCTGGGCTTCAGTTTCCTTATCCATAGAATAGAGATAATAATACTTGTAATACTTTCTTCACAGGGCTTTTGGGAGAATCAAATCAGATAGTGTATATAAAGTATTTTGCAGTCCACAAATATATAAATGTTAGTTATTACTATTGGTGGCCTTTGTTTCAGGGAGAAGCTTGAAGTTATTAAAATAATATTGTAATTTCCCAAAGCGATCTTTCCTGTTTTCTTCTTCCTGTACAATTCTGGACCCAGCTCCATTTGCAATGTGTGCACAGAATATATACACTACTAGACAAGTTCTATACATTGCATGTCCAATTACATATCATAGTCTGAACAGTTGCCACTCTGCAAAGTTTCTTTGGAGTGATTATGGATCTCATCTAGAAGGCTGAAATAACCTGTCGCTTGAAGCAATGGAAACATCATTTCCAAGCAAGAGTGTCCCCAGTACACCATCTATTGGGAACCGAAACTGGATCTCTCCCATTACTTGATGTTAATGATCAGAGGGTCATTGAATAAGGATTCTTATGTGATCTTGATGAGTGAATGGGAGCCATCTTGTCTCTCTCCAGAGAGCCTGCAAGAACATTTTGCTCTACTAAATGTAATGCTTCTTCTATGCGTATGTATATGTATACATGCATACATATTTACATGTAGATTTTCACTAAATAATAAGTGGGATCTTGTATTTCCTACACATCTCACTCAACTGTGGACTGTGAAAGATATGGTTGATCCCTTTCGATTGCCCACTGTTTCCCTCTACTGCTCTCATCAAGAATTCCTAAGATGTGTGTGTGTGTGTGTGTGTGTGTGTGTGTGTGTGGGCAGAGGATTCTCATAAAATATTTATATATATAGGAAAGTTGGCCTGCCTATGAGTTGGTAGTGACCTATGTTCTCTTTTGGTCATGTTTTACTTGAAATGCTATGTTCTGAGATGTTTGGCTGAGACTTTTTTTTTAATCTCCCCCTTGGTTTCACATACCTTGGGAAGCATCCTCTCAACGTCCTCACAGTTAGGTTGCCTCTAGCCCAGGCTTCTTTGTTTTCTTCTGTGCTATTTCCATTTCCTCTCTTGGCACATCTGGGACTCTACTGTTAGAGGCCATATATGGCTCCTCCACTGTCCTTGATAATGAAAGATGTAACCCATGCCCACACAGTGCCTTTGGGTATGATTATTTGAGGATGGAGAAAGACAGAACGTTGCTAACCAACAACATGCCCTTCGTTGAGTGTGGGGAAACAGAAATTCAGTGGGTGTGGTATACTGCCTTGGTGAATTGGAACTCCAAGACAAGAAGCTGGAGATTGGAAGAGGGAAGGGAGATTCTGTTGCTGTTGCCTAAAATTGATTTTATCTCTTGTCTTCTTTGATCTCAAGAGAGATTAGAGATGTGGGGGACAGAGCAGTTGTAGGAACTTGCTATGATCAGGACTGGCCTGGAAGAGCTAGGACCACCAGATTGGATAATGACAGTAGCTGGGACAATCAGGATCAGTGCTGAGACTAGCATGCAGAGGTTAGCTTGGTCCAGAAAGCCAACTATAGAGGAGCCAGTGTCCCAAGGTAGAAGTCAACTGGTGGCTAGAAACTTCAGCTTTTGAAAATCCCTTTGTTTGGAAAGGAGGTAGGGACATCCATCTACCTCCTTCTCTTTTCACATCTTCCATTGATCATAGTTTTGACTGTTGACTGTGAGGTGGGGTCTCAGACATACAACTACCCTCCCCAACATTCCCCACACATACACACTTGATTTTTCCTATGAACTGCAGGGTCAGGATGTAAGTGTTTTGAAAGTGTCCCTCTGACATCTCACAAGAACAGCAGAAAGGCAAGGAAAAGGAAGTTTGGGGATATGTTTGGGGTTGGAATACTCCAAGGAAACACACTGAACCGCTGTTCCTAGATTTTTGTTATGTTACATAAATAATGTGGTCATAGTCTGATGATGCTCTGTGCCTTGTGAATTGAGAGGGAAGAAAGAGGTTGTTTCTCTGGGAAAGGAAAGTCCAGTTGAAGATTTGGGGGCTCTGAGCTATGTACAGACCAATGATTTCATATTTTAATTTTCTTGAGTAATATTTTGTAATCCTCTAATCTAAATTCAGAACCTGTCCAGAATAGATTTTCTTTTGGTCATGTTTTCTTTTGGCTTTCTTGCCCAATTGTTTAGAGCCAGGCTGCTTGGTGGTGTGAGGGAACCTTGTGGGCATGGTGCCAGAGAGACCCTGATGAGACCACTTGGTTGGTCACTCGAGTGTAGCACCATCTGGTGGACAATTCAAACATTATGCTCCCTCAGAATAATGAACCAAGTGATCCTGATTTCCTGTAAGTTGGCATAGACTTCTTACATGACTCTCACATGGAATATCTACCAAGTGTCACACAGAATCTGCAGGTGTCACATACAAATATTTACACGTTTTTCTCAACTCTAACCTTTATGTTATCTTCCTTCCAATTTCATCTTTAAATGCCCTCAGGATGAATTTGTTTAGTTACCAATTTGTCTCTCTAAATTTGTTTTTCCTTCCTCTACTTTTCACTGCTTCCTGAGGTGATACTGCTCAAAGTCTTCCATAACGTTTTTACAGTTAATATTCTAAAACTGGTTCTGCCCTTGGCTGCCATATCTCTCCCACTTGGCAAACAGATCAAACACTTGCTGATTCAAGCAGTTTATAGGCTCTTTTGGTCTTATTATGGCATTTTATTTACACAGGCTAAAGTTCTCTAAGAAATTGTTACAATCTGGGTCAATGTCCATTCCTCCATCCATTTCCCATTTTGGAATATCAATAACTCTTTAAAATGGACCAGGTTGAAGTTGCTTTGATTGCCCATCATATTTTTCCCAATTTTTAAATAATTTTAGATTTCTATTTATAACCTGTGCCCCAACAGCCCCCCACCCCCAAATTGTAGGTTCACATGAAATGGTTCTAATCCCAAGGACTGACTCCAAAGAAAGTCAGTTTTTTTTTTAATCTTTCCCATCCCCACCTAGAGTTAATCCAGAAAAAACTCTAAAATAAATCATGGCTCATGACTCATTTTCCCTAAATGTGGGTATAGAAAACACACGTAAGATGCTAAAGAC